CTTGTTCTGCCTACTTGGCCTTCCAGCCTCAGCAAGCATCCACTTTGTTCTTGGTCGTGGATGGTGCATTACCATTCCGCGGACCTTCCGTCGCTTTGCGCATTTGAAAGCGAGGCCAGGAGGCTCCAAGGCCTCGAGCCAAAGGTCAGTCATGGCCCCCGTCTAGGCTCCAGACCAGCAGACCGGAGGGGAGGTACAGTATAGTTGTGCCTTCATGTCGTACAACGTTCTGACCCTCCTGGACCCCGGGCCGCCAGGAAAAAATCAGAGACAGGTTGGCATGAAAATGTCAGCCAAGCGAGACCTCCTGAAGAAGCAACTCCAAGAGATGTCCATCCTTCTCTGTGGGCTGCAGGAGACGCGACTTATCGCGTCAGAAGTTCTCCCGGATGGGGACTTTCATATGCTGCACCCCGCGGCGGACGCAAATGGCCACCATGGTGTTGCTCTCTGGGCCAGCAAGTGTGAGCCCTATGCAGTCTCGGGAAACAGTAGATGGTACCTGGAACCGCAGCACTTCACGGTAACCAGTTTGTCATCTCGACACATTGTAGTCCAAATCACGGCTCCGCATCTGGACTGGACCGTTTTGGTTGCACATGGACCATCTGAGCCGCCAGCCACAGCGGGGACAGCACAGGATTTCTGGCAGGCCTGTCGTAAGGCGCTTCAAGCTAGACCAGCCAGGTCGGAGGTCATCGTCTTAGCGGACGCCAACGCCAGACTCGGCAGCCTTGTATCGGACTCTGTCGGTACCGAAGGGGCGGAAACTGAGACGGCCTCAGGCGAGGCCTTCCACGGGTTTGTTTCGGAACTGGATTTGGTACTTCCTTCCACCCTTGCCAGTTGCCATTCAGGCACTTCAGTCACGTGGATCCCGGTTCAGGGAGAGCCTAGGCGTCTTGACTATATTGCTGTCCCGTCGCATTGGCCACAACAGGGGATGAAGTCAACGGTGTGCGTAGCCTTCGAAAGCCTCCAGACTAAGGCAGACCACTATCCGGTACTTCTCCGATGCCGGATGGCCCAGGAGGACATCCCTCTGCCGACCCAAGGTCGCTATTGCCGGAGAGCGGTGCGACCGCAGCAAGAGCCGACAGCCGCTTACTATGGCAGCTTGAGATCTATTGTGAGCGGGCCGGCATGTGCCTGGCAGTCGGACATCGACGGGCACTACGAAGCACTGGTCACCCGATGGACCCATGCAGGGCGAGACCATCTTTGTACCACGTCAAAGGCACCCAGGCAGCCCTACATTACGCCCGAATCCATGCAGAAAGTTCAGTTGCGCAGGCAGCTGAGGCTTCGCCTCTCCCAGGCTCACGCCGAGCTTCGCCGGAGACGTCTGCTAATAGGCTTTGCGGGCCTCTTGCATCTCCGCAGAGGTACCACCTTCTCGGAGGAGGCCGTGAGGCAGGCAATTACCTGGATTCAGGAGGTGTACCGCGATATCGCGATAGGCTCCAACAGGCTAGATCACCTCGGTCGCGACCTTCGGGCGAGTGTCAAAAGGGACCGGGGCGCATACCTGCAATCATTGGTCCAGCAAGTTGCCATTTCAGACATCAAAGACCCCAAACATCTGTTTCGGGCAGTCCGCAAGGCCTTCCCCGGAGCCGCCTCTCGCCGACGGCACTCCTTTGTTCCCCTACCAGCAGTTGAGCTGTCCGATGGCACCCTGGCAGCCAGCCAAGCTCAGCGCCAAGAGGCGTGGCGGGCACACTTCGGGGACCTGGAGGCCGGGGAGGTCATTGGCTCTGAGGAGTACCCGGCCATGTTCAAAGAGCAACGGGATGCCTACCCGCGTGATGCCGCGGTGTTCGACATCACGGTCATCCCATCTCTGTCCAGGGTGGAGTGCATGATTAGGGCCCTACGCCCTGGTAAGGCCTGTGGACCGGACGGCGTGACTGGGGAGCTCCTTCGGGCCGACACCGTGTTGTCCGCTCGTATGCTCCTGCCCATTTTCGCAAAGGCGGCCTTGACAGTCCAATTCAGAGGGGGGTGTTTGATGCCGCTGGCGAAGCAGGCAGCAGCGACACTACAGTGTTCCAAGTTCAGGGCTATCTTGCTCTCAAATCTCCCGAGCAAGTTGTACCACAAACATGTCCGTAGCTGCCTGGCAGAGCACTTGCGCCCGGCGGACCTCCAAGCTGGGACCCTGCCCGGGGTCAGCACAGAGGCAATTGCGCTGGCAGCCCGCACGTTTCAAGCCAGTGCCCAGAAAAGGCGGAAGCAGTGGGCCCTGCTCTACTTCGACGTGAAGTCTGCCTTCTACTGTGTCATTAGGCAACTTCTCGTTCCTGTCGGAGATTCCGAGCGGGCACTCAGAGCCCTGTTCCATAAGCTTGGCCTCCCGGCCACAGCCCTGAGCGAGCTCGCCACCCAGCTCAGGCGCATGGCTACCATTCCGGAGATTGTCCACAATGAGCATTTGTGCGCTGTTACGGCAGATGTGCTGCAGGGCACATGGTTCCGGCTCGACCGGGGGGCCGCCTTGACCCTTACCCATCAGGGGACCCGCCCCGGTGATGGGCTGGCGGACATACTGTTCGCCTTTTCGTTCTCAGCGTATCTCCACTGTGCAGACCAGGCTGTGGAGGCTTCAGGTTACGCGACTGCGACGCCCGTCGCAGCCAGTGAGGAACCGTGGTCTTCCGAGGGTGCCCCAGAGCGCCTTTCATGCGGAGCTTGGGCAGATGACTTCGTCCACATGCATGAGCAGTCGGGAGTGCAAGGCCTCTCTACGGCCATACGGGGCATTGTCACTGCCTATGTAGAACAAGCTGACAGCATAGGAATGACCTTGGGGTTTGCCAAAGACAAGACCGCTGTGGTCGTTCCCCAGGAGGCCCTCGCGCGAGACACCCTGTGGCAACCCCAATGGGACAAAGGAGACCTGTGCATGTTGGGGCGCAGCTCGGTCTCGCAGCGGGATTTTTCCTTGCCCCTTGTGGAAGCGTACAAGCACTTAGGTGGCATCACCACAGTCACGGGCACTCCTGCCCCCGAAATCTCTTTCCGGGGCCTCCCAAGCATGGAACATCATCCGGCCCTTTCGCCACCGACTGTTCTCGGCGGAGTGTATTCCCCTTGTAACCAGAAGGACGATGCTACGATCTCTGGCTTTGTCCCGTTTCGTGTTCGGCAGCGCCATCCTGCCGCTACACGCCGCAGTGCACTTTCGCACCTGGGCACAAGTCTATGTGGCTTTGTGGCGTGCCCTCCACCGACGCAGGAAGGGCGACTACCACCCACACTCCTACTCCACGCTGCTACAGCCCGAGGCGCCTTCGCCCCCGCTTGCCCTCGCCTTGGCCAGGTCAGTGCTACTACGACAGGTGGTCCACCACGCCCCGGCGACCCTTAAGAGGCTGCTTTGGACACACTGGGAGTGCGATCCGGACTCCTCATGGCTAGGTGCCGTCGTCTCTGACGTACGCCACGCGAGCCAGTACCTGTCCTCGGCTAAAGTAATAGCCGCTGCGGCTTGTCCATTGAGGGCCCTCATCGAGGCGGTTGCTGACAGGCCTAAATGGTGGACCCTCCAGCTGAAGCAGGCGTGCCAACAGTGGGATAGGGATCTACAGAAGTGGAGGGATCAAGGGCCGGAGAGGCCGTCTCAAGACCAGAGTGCCATGACAGAGCGCCCTTTCTCCTGTCCGCGCTGCCCCTCCACTTTCGTTCTACGGAAGCATCTGTGGGTGCACCTCGCCCGGGCCCACGGAGAGGTCACTCCCACACGCCTTCTTGCCCACTCTTCTACTTGCCCTGCATGTCTTCGGCATTTTGGGTCTGTCGAGAGGTTGCAATATCATTACAAGCAGCACGGCGATTGTCTCCTCCGTGCCGCGTGGGTGATTCGCCCTCTGACTTCAGAAGAGTTGAGGGAGGTGGAATCCTCCTTCAAGGCTGTTAAAAAGAGCCTCCGGAGAGGCCAATGGCAGCAGTACGCCACGGTTGATGTGGCCGCACAGGCGTTTGGTCCCCCTGCGCCGACAGCCCGTGAGGTTGCAGAGTCTCTCGGAGAGGATATTTGCCTTGATGTCCTAGGGAGGCTCTACCATCCGGACCCGGCTTTCGTTTCTTCGGTAGAAAGTTACGTAGCCGGCAAGTCTGTCGAGGGCAAGCGAAAGACGGCTTGTCGATTTTGGGACCGCCGACCTTGTTTCACCTTTGCATCCGCTTGAATTCAGGACGCGCTTTTCGGAGCTCTGAAGTCCATCAGAAGAAGAAGAATATTATTCCGTAGGGTTCCTTATTATACGTATACTATAGAGGGGCCCAAAACCCTGTTGCAATCATTAAGGCCCCTACACTACATCCAGAGCCCGGAAGCCCAAAAAGCCTCAAACCTCCGAAGCTCCTACCCCAAAGCCAAACCCTACTAGAAACCCTTATGGTTTAGGGTTTAGAGTTTATAGTATGATCCTTAGAGGAATCCTGGGTTCAGGGGCTTAGGGCTTAGGGCTTAGGGTTTAGGGTTTGGGGTTTATGGTTTAGGGGTTTAGGGGTTTAGGGTTTAGGGTTTAGGGTTTAGGGGTTTAGGGTCTATTCTTATGTCTAAGGCACCTACATTGCATCCTGCCCAGAGAAATTCAAAAACCCCTTAATTAAGGACTCTGCCTGAAATCCTTACATACAAGCAGCGTGCCTAATCCACATTAAGGGGTATTCCCTGATTACGGGCCTAAGCCCTAAACCCAAAACCCCTAAACCCAAAACCCCTAAACCCCTAAACCCCTAAACCCCTAAACCCAAAACCCCTAAACCCCTAAGGCCTAAACCCTAAACCCCTGAACCTCTAGACCCTGAGCCCTAAAACCCTAGACCCCTGAACCCTAGACCCTGAACCCTAAAACCCTAGACCCCTGAACCCTAGACCCTGAACCCTAAAACCCAAAACCCAAAAACCTAAACCCTAAACCCTAAACCCTAAACCCTAAACCCATAAGGTGACTGTGGAGTCTCTGGCAACCCGCTCTCCCGCTTTTTTTCAGGTCTTTGGGCCGCAGCTCCGTGGCAACGCAGGCCGCAAGCGAATCCGCGTGGATGCCAGGTGCCTCGGTTTGAGGTTTAGGGGTTTAGGGTTAGGGGTTTCGGGTTTAGGGTTTCAGGGCTTTAGGGGTTTAGGGTTTAGGGTTTTGGTTTTTTCATAAACAGATAGAAGAAGGGTTTTAGTTATTAAAAATACACGTTGGGGTTTTGGCCTCGGGTTGTTTTGGTAAGGGCTTTCGGGGTTTTGCGGCTTAGGGCTTCAGGGAGGGGCTCAGGGGTTCAGGCTTGGTCTTGCGGTTTGGGTGTTTCAGGGTTCATGGTTTAGGGTTTAGGGTTTAGGGTGGAGTGTTTAGTTTTTCAGGGTTTAGGGTCTAGGGTGTAGTGCAGTGTTTAGGGTTTCAGGGTTTAGGGTCAAGGGGTTGTGGGTTTAGTTTTTGCATGGCGTATGTCATGTGGGGTATCTGAGGGTTCGGGCTTCACTTAGAACAGAGATCCACAGGATTCATGACAAGAACACCTCAACCCTGAACCCCAAACCTTGTTTTTTTTTGACTGTACTTTGAAGCTGTCCTCCCCCGATCAGTGTACTTTACGAGCCTCCACCTCGCAACTCAAGTACGTCATTATTGCCAAGCCCTAAACCCTAAACCCAAACCCCTATACTCTAAACCCTAAACCCTAAACCCCTAAACCCTAAACCCTAAATCCGAAACCCTAAACCCTAAACCCTAAGCCCTAAACCTTAAATCCGAAACCCTAAA